TGACTGTGAGGGTTGGAAATGTAAAGGTAGATGTTTTGTAGCAAAAGGAGGGGAGTGGTTGACTTTGCAGGCCAGGAGTGGAGGTTCCTGGGACCATTAGGGGGAAGAGTGGAGTGTGGGACCTACCCAGAGAAACAGTGACACCAGAGATGGAGGCAGAGATGACGCCATGGAGAGATGGAGCTGCCGGGAACTCTAGACCCAGAGAGGGAGAGGGGCTGTGTGCTGACAAACCAGGGGGCAGGCTTATGGGGTATACCCTTTGGTTGGTTTGATGATGCATGGAGGGGATTGTAACCATGGCAATGCAACGATATACGATAGAATGTTCTCCCTAAAGCTAATGTTCCCCCATGTAAACTATCACATAATTAACAATAAAACAGTTTAAAAAAACCCAAAGAAATGGTCAATGCTCCGTCATTTCAAGAGGTGGCATTTTATCAAGAACCAATGATATTGTAGGAAGAATTCAAGATGCACTGAAAGGATTAGTGAGAAACAAGTCTCCAGACTTGAAAGAAAACTAGTTGAAATGTTTCAACAAACTGATGCAGCACTGGAGGTGCTCATTCACCAATGCCAAGAAATTTGAAAGACAGCTACCCAGCCAACCAGTTGGAGGAGATCCATAGTTGTGCCCATTCAAAAGAAAGGTGACCCAGTGGGATGTGAAAATTGTCAGACAATATCATTAATATCACATGCAAGTAAAATTTTGCTGAAGGTAATTAAAAAATGGTTGCAAGTATATAGACAGGGAGCTGCCAGAAATTCAAGCTGGATTCAGAAGAGGACACAAAACTAGGGATATCATTGCTGGCGTCAGATGGATCTTGACTGAAAGCAGAGAATAAAAGTCGTTTACCTGTGCTTTATTGACTATGCAAATACATAGGACTATGTGGATCCTGACATACTATGGTCACCTTTGCAAAGTGGAAATTCCTGTACACAAACCTAGAGACAGTCGTTGGAACAAAACAAGAGGATTCTGCATGGTTTAAAATCCTTTCAATACTTATTCAGTCTGTGTGCTGAACAAATGATCCAAGAAGGTGGAATATATGAAAAAGAACATGATATCAGGACTGGAGGAAAACTCCTTAACAATCTGCAGACTACACAACCTTGCTTGTTGAAAGGGAAGAGGACTTGAAATACTAGCTGGTGAAAATCAAAGACTACAGCCTTTATTAGAAACTGCTTTAATGTAAAAACAAACAAAAAACCTCACAGCTGAGCCAATAAATAACATCATGATAAATGAAGAAAAGCTTTAAGTTGTCAAAGACTTCAATTTGCTTGGATTTATATGAACATAGTAAATGGTTTTCACTCCTCGGAAACTCTATACAGGGTCGCTATGAGTTGGAACTGACTCGATGGCACTTAACAACAGCAACAGTCATTAACAGTCAAGAAACGAAACAATATATTGCATTAGCCAAATATGCTGGAAAAGACCTCTTTAAAATGTTAAAGAGCAAAGATGTCACTGAAGACTAATATGTGCTTGACCCAAGCCATATTTTAATGGCTTAAAATTCATGCAAAAGTAGGATAATGAGTAAGGAAGACTGTAGTCTTGTAAGGAAGAGTGTAGGTGAAGATTATAAAAAAATGTCATGGACTGCAAGAAGAACTAAGAAATACAGGTTGGAAGAAGTACAGTTAGAATGCTTCTTAGAAACCAGGATGGTGAGACTTTGTCTCTTCTAAATGTTGTTATGAGTCAGAACTGACTTGATAGCACTTAACAACAACAACAACACATTGTTAGGACGCACCAGTCTCCAGAGAAGAACATCATGCTTGGTTAACTGCAGGGTCTGCATATAAGAGAAAGACCCCCAACAATATGGGTTGACATAGTGGCAACAACAATGAGCTTAAACGTAACAATTGTGAGAATGTCTCAGGATGGGGCAGTGTTTGGTTCTGTTGTCCAGAGGGTTGTTATGAGTCAGAGTCAACTCACTGACACCTAATAAAACAATAAGCATGTGCCCAGAGGTAGTACAACTCGTGTACTGTTCTCGTCACACTTTTGTTCAAGTATAAGTTACGTTCATATTTTTAACGTGCTTAAAAAATAGAGAAGAAATACTTAAATGTTCTCAAAATTTGTGAGTTTATGAATAGACTCATAGTTAACTAGCATTTGTTGAGCACCTATGTGTTTCCGTATTTGTTATGTGTGCCATGCACTTATACTTAGTAAAGTTTGGATTATAATATAAATAGTATTATTATATTAACTATTAACTATTTAGAAACATTAGTGCTTAACAAATGAATGCATTATTAAATCTATGGAATGTGGCACGTTGTTCTTGTCATCAGGGCAATTCCTGTTCATGATGATCCCATAAGTGCAGAAAAGAATTGCACCAGAGGGTTTTCATAGAGTTTTTAGGAGTCCTGGTGTGGTACTATAGGATAAATACTGGACTGTTATCCACAAGGTAGGCAGTTCAAACCCACTACCCACTCCTCAGAACCCTATACAGGGTCGCTATGAGTCGGATCCGACTTTACAAGCATTTGACAACAATAAGGTTTTCAAGGATGTGACCTTATAGAAGTAGATCTCTAGGTTTATCCTCCAGGGCACCTCTGAGTGGGTTTGAACTGCCAACCTTTCCACTGGTAGTCATATGCCTAAGCATATGTGCCAACCGGGCCTGAGTATGGTGTATATAATGCTTTCTAAATATATTATTTTGTGGATTCCATATTATTTGTGAATTCACCTACTTCCTAAAATTTATTTCCATGAATATAATTAGTACTGTGTGCTTTTGTCATCATTTGTGGCTGTTCAAAGAGTGGTGAGAAATCAGAGTTGGCCACCATGTGTATTTCTAGCTAAAGTTCAACATGGAAGCACTCTACCTTCTTGTATTTCCAGCTAAAGTTAAACAAGGCAGCATTCAGCTCTGTACTGTATACAAGTGCTTTTTTTGTGGTCTTTTTATTGCCACCTGTTTTGCATTTTTATGCTTTTTTCTTGGATTTCATTGTTCAAAATGGCCTCCGAGTGTAGTGCTAATATGCTCTGTAGTATTCATGTTGTTGTTGTTAAGTGCCATTGAGTCGGTTCAGACTCTAGCGGCCCTGTGTAGGGTTTCTGAGCAGTTGCTGGTGGGTTTGAACCACTGACCTTGTGGTTAGCAATCCAGTGCTTATCCTATAGTGCCACACCAGGATTCCCTAGTGTTCCTAAGGGCAAGAAAATGTGTGCCTTATGGTGAAAATGCATGTATTAGGTAAGCTTCATTCAGTCCTGAGTTACAGTGCTGCTGGTCATGAATTTGTTGTTAATAAATTAACAATATATACTAAAAAAACCTCGTTATAATCATGTCACCTCCTATTTGTGATGACCTCATGTGTGTAAGAGTAGAACTGTGTTTCTTAGAGCTTTTAATGGCTGGTTTTTCAGAAGTAGATCTCCAGGACACCTCTGAGTGGACTTAAACCTCTACTAGTTTGGTTAGCGTTCGATCATTTGATCATGTTAACTCTGCTCTGCATTACCCACGGATTCCATATATTAAATAACGTGTCTTAAAATAGAAACGCACGTAAAACAAGAATATGTATCCATCTGTTGATTAAAATGTTGTGGCCAGAGGCTTGTAGAAAACAAACTGCATTTCCCCTAGCAGCAAGTTTCCGTATTTGTTTATTGAGTGTTCATGGTGACTTTATAAAACAGGCTGTTGTTTTATAAAGTGTCATTAAATTGGTTCCGACTCATAGTCACCTGTATGAGGTTTCCAAGGAGAGGCTGGTGTGTTTGAACTGCTAGACTTAGGGTTCAAACTGACCTTGTGGTCCAGTTCTTTGATTCCACAGTGCCACACCAGGACTCCAAATTGAACTTTTTCAGGAATGAGATTTGAACCCATGCCTCCATCTGGAGACCAGAAGAACTTGAGAACACTACTATCACGAATATTGAGAATTGACTGTAGCTTTATTATATACTTAAGTACAAGTTGTACCATTTCATTGTTGTTGTTGTTATGTGCCATGGAGTCAGTTCCGACTCATAGCGACCCTGTACAGGGTTTCCGAGGCTGTAAATCTTTACGGGAGCAGAAAGCCTCATCTTTCTCCCGCGGAACAGCTGGTAGTTTCGAACTGCTGAACTAGCGGTTCGCAGCCCGATTCGTAACCACTATGCTACCAGAGCTCCTTTCATAACAGATGTTCATTGATACTGAATTTAGTTACCTAAAATGTTTTGGTTGAGGATATGAGTTAAAAAGTAACAGGCTAAATAATACATTTTTTCCTTTTGTGATATGTTAAAGGAGGAGTGAATTCCAATGAGTGTGAAAATGTGTCAAGAAAAACCGTGTCAGAAGAATTTGAAGCCAATAGTATGGATTCTCTGCCCCTTGCAACTATATATATAAAAGATGGTTATGGAAGTAAGTACATTATTAAATAAATATGTATTTTAAAGCATTGAATAGTAAATTTAATTTTAAATGTACTTAAAAAAAATCAATTGCTGTTAAATGTCATTGAGTTGGTTCTGACTCATAGTGACCTTGTACAGGGTTTGTGAAGAATGACTGTGGATTTGAGCCTCTTACGTTATGGTTAGCATTCCAGTGCTTACCCTACAGTGCCACACCAGGACTCAAAAATAGATTTCATCACCTTAAATGCTTATCATGTTTTTGAGTCTTGGCTTTTAAATTGGTAGTTTTCTGTATCTGTTGGTATTGCATTTAAAAAACTCACAGATACTCTAAGTTGTATTTTGTACAGTTTTGAGTCAGATAATTCAATAGTTTGTAATCTACATCTAAAAATAATGGGCTGAGCTCTCATAGTTTATAACCTCCTTCCTGAGTTATTCGTGAGCCCCTGCTGGTTTTAACAGTATCCATTCATCTAACAAGTGTGTACTTGACGTTTGGTATGTGCCAGGAAGTTTGCTTGGAAAGGTTCATCATTGACTGTGCAGGTATTTTCCTGGTGTGGCGCTGTGGATTAATGCGCTGCACTGCAAAGTCAGTTTGAACCGCAGGATCAGCGGTTCAGGCTCACCAGCCACTCCTCGGAAACCCTATATAGAATTGCTGTGGGTTGGAACTGACTAGACCACACTTAACAACAACAACAACATGGAGTTTACAGGCTGATGTTGAAAATGTTAAGCTTTTAATTACGTCTGCTTTATTCAGTCTTGGGAGCTATGTCCTCAAACTTTTTTTTCCCAAGTTTTCATTGTGATTTGAGTGAAAGTTCACAGGGCAAATCATCAGTTTTACATTCAACAAATCATATGCTTTGTTTCATTACAATGATTTTAATCCCCCTGAGTGTTTTTAAACACTCAGGCATCTATAATAATTTAAACCATTAAAGGGCACAGTCTGCCTCCTGGCCACCAGCTCTTAGTCCCTTTCTTTCCATGAATCTAGAGTCCTCAGCTGCTCCCTTTCTCCATGTCACCACCTCTGTCTCCTTCTCAGGTGTCGCTGCTTCTCTGGATAGGGTAGCACATTTCTCTTGTGCTCTTCTCCTTTGATGGTCCTAGGGTCCTCTGTTTCTGTTACCAGACTTCTACCTTTACAGTTGTGATAGTCCCAATTAGTCATGATAACAGTTACTCACTATTGAATCATATGAATCTTATCCCCATCTCTTTTAACCAGACCCATCTAGCAAGATGAAAACTATTCAGTGGGGACTCTTTCTTCCCCCGTACACTCTTAAACTAAACTCCCTCTTGAAACCTTGTAAGCCTTTATTGCCCCCCTCATTTTAGGTAGCCAATGTGTAAGTTGCCAGTCCCTCCTCTACCCTGTATACAGAGGGAATAGCATGGATACTTGATGTGAAGATTCTTTCCCTCGTTGTTGGTATTTTGAGTTACTACATACATGAGTATAGGTCAAGTTCATCAAATTGTAGCAATTTACTCTCATTTCCATTATTTAAAAAACAACAACAACAACACAGCACCTTTTTTTTTTTTTCCTTAATGGTCCTTTACTCCAGTTCTGTATGTCAGCCTATTGAGGTTAGGTCAAATGGGTACAATCTGCAAGTTTGGGTGTTCTTTTGCATCTCCCCTCACTTCCTATCAGCTGGATGCTTCACTCTTAGCTCTAGCCCTCCATGGCTATGTTCTTGTCCATGGGCTCAGGTGTCCACAGGTATCACCACACTTTGGACCAACCAGCCCTTCCTCTTCTCTCTCTCATCTCCAGGTCAGTGGGAGTATATGGAACGTGGTTGTACTCAGCCCATTTCTTCATTGCTGCCTTTCCCCTCCTTTCACATACCAGTAGACCAACATGGTCACTAGCAAAGTTACATGCCTACTCATGTATTCCCTTTGAGTTTCAGTCTTAGAGGGGGGTTTGTCCTGAAGGGACTTGATTGCTTGCCTTGATGTCTTCCTGGCAAACAACTTGCTTATTCTTGTAGTAGCCAGTCATGCTGCCATTTTCTTTTTGGGTTTTTCCTGCTAATCTTTCTTTGAAGATTTTCTGATTTCTGTTGCTCTAGCTGTTCCAGGCTGGTCTGCTTGTCCTTTCTAGTAGGGATGTCCCACCTCATGAGGTTCTGGATGGGACTCTGGATTCCACTTGAGGTCCTATACACTGCAAAGGCTCTGCAAGAAGCCTATTTCACTGGGCAAGTTCTAGAGCCCCTTTTAGGTATTTCAATCAGTTATAGGCTGAAGATGGGCTTGCAAGCTTTCTATAATTATGTTTCCCAATATTTCTTAAAAAAGAGAAAGAGAAAACAGACTAAGAATTTAAGTGAGTTAAGTGATTTCACACAGCTAAGAACTAGTTATAGATTCCTCGGAATCCTGGTGTGGTGCTGTAGGATAAACATTGGACTGCTAACAAGGTCATTGGTTCATACCCACCAGCTGCTCCTTGGAAACCCTAGACAGGGTTGTTATGAGTCAGAACCGACTTAATGGCACTTAACAGCAGCCACAAGAAGAACTAGTTATAGAATCTGTTATTTCTAATTCCTTAGTTATTTCTTTAGTGGATATGTATTGGCTGCCTGGTAGGGGCCAGGCATGGCTGAAGACATTGGTGATAATGAAACATATGATTGTCTTTTCCCTCTTGAAGGCTACAGTTTTATTGGGAAGGCAATGCCTCAGCAGCTATAGTTTCATAAGGTGAATGTCTACAGAATGCTCTGAGACTCATGGGGGCAGGATGTGTGTGGAGAAGCATCTAACTGGCATGTGAAGGCAGAGGGTGTCCAGGAAGGATTTCTAGTGATTTGGCAAGAGTAGAGGCTTAGTGGATAAGTATGAACTGTTAAGGACTATATGGAGCACGGTGGCTCTGTAGAGTAAACACTAGATTTAAAACCATAAGGTTGGAGGCTCAATCCCACCTGGCATTCCAAGGGAGAAAGTTGAGGCTTTCTGTTCCCACAGAGATTTACACCCTCAGAAACCCTATACAGGGTCCCTATGAGTTGGAACTTATTTGATGGCATTTAACAACAACAACAATCGAGGGCTTTTTCTTCTACATTAACTGTTCTTGAACATGGCTGGCTATCAGAATCTTCTATGGAATGTGAAAGCATAGACTCCTGGTTTACACTAGGAGACCAGGGAATCAGGCCAGGGAATCTTTTCTTTTTGGGGTGTGTGTATGTGTCAGTTCAGGGAATCATTTATTTATTTATTTGTAAAACAACCTCGGTGATTGTGTTGCTCCTCCAGTCTCAGAAACACACTGTTCTTTATCACATGGTCTTCCAGATGCAGTGAGGCTGGTTTGCATTTTGGGGAGATGTGAGGAAACAAGAATACTTAAAATTACTAGAAGTTTTTTTAAATTAAATAATATGTGCCCAGTCTGTAATCCAAAGGGAAAAGGAAATGTGGAGGCATGTTTACTTAGTCAAGGCATGTGTTTCCTATCATTCTCTTCACAGAGGACCAGGAGAAAAGAACAGCTGTTTTTACCTTTTACAGCTGTTAGGGAAACCTCCATTTAGAGAATTCACGTACCTATTCACAGATGCAATAATATGGTAGAGTAGGAGATGAGGGTCACTTCTCTGTGTTCCTATAGAAACAATTCGAATATTTGTTTTATATGTATTTTTATTTACTTTTCAAACCTGCTACTAAAGAAGGCACCCAGTTGCTAGGCAAGCATTTGTAGTTTGTACAATGGCAAAAGGGCCCGAACTATTTTTGAAAAGTATTTTGGAAAAAAGAAAAAAGAATTCACATACCTATTATGTGGAAGAAATAACCTTTTGGAACAAAGAGACAGCAACAGTGGAAGTTAATGTTTTCCTTTTAGTTCCCAGCATATTAAGCAAATAAAATAAACATGTTTTAAAAATTCTGTCACCTATTTTTCTGATTTCATTACTCTCTACATTTTGTATATAAAATAACTAAGAATACTCTCCAATAATCTTCCGTTGAATACCCACAGAGGCAATCTCTTTATTTGCCCTTTCCCTCTGAGCCCTGTTCCTGTCTCTGAATTGTTCTCATCGGAGCACTAGTAAGTTAGAATGCAGTAAGAGATGAAATGTTCACCATCCAGCTGTGGGTACTTCTTTAAAAAACTAAGCCCACAGACTTTAATGGCATACAATAGTAGTAAGATAGCAAATACATAAGAGTAATATATAAAGTCTAAGAATGTCCTCTCAACTCATGGACTCTTGTTCCAAGGTCTTGGGGAGAACTGTCTCCCTCTCATGCTCTGGCCATCAGGTCATGTATATTTAAGTTTAGGCTTGTCACTGGGCTCCATGGCTTATTCAGGATCTGTGTTTTTTTTAGATTGGGAGAGGTAAATGCTAGTCTTAACTACTCATCATTTAGTGGCACATGGGTCGGTCAGGAGAACTCCATGTTACTCTTTCTCACCTCGCTCCAGTGATTCTTTTAGCTGATAACAAAATATATAGAGCCTTGGGATAGTAGCATACCAGTATTGGGATTTTGGTTTTCAGTCATTAAAAGCTCCTTTTACCTGCAAAAACATTCTTTAAAGTATTGGATCTGCAAGCAAGGCGGGTTGCAGTTTGATGATGAGCATTAGAGAGACATTTCATATAACATTGTTTTGGAGACCAATTAAAATAATTATTGATTTATCCTAAACATTCAGTTGTAGATACTTTTAACTTACACACATTTTAAACTTACCTAGAATATATGAGTAAACAATTTTTACTAAGGATGGAGAATAAGAGATGAAGGGACTTTGAAAAGTTCATGGAAAAATGGAATTGAAGACTCCTCACAAATCCAATGTTTCGTTCTATTGTGCATACAGTTGCTATGAGTTGGTACCGACTCGATGGCACCTAACAACAACAACAACAACAATCCAGAGTCCCAGAGAGCAAATAGTGTTTCTCTAGGCATTGCATTCTTGTATCTGCTCTGGTGAGG